ATAACCACCCAGACCACTAAATTCCGCCTGCTGGTCACTAACCTCCCGCCAGAACTCCTTCTGACCGTCGGCGACCTGCATAATCATGGTACGCCACTTACGACGAGCTTAAGGAGGCCATTCTTAGGCGAGCAGCACCTAACCCTCTGACCGCGTTAAGCTCCTTCCTGTCGTCTGACGCCGCGGACAACCGTACCCCACAGAAATCCTTCACCACTTCCAGCGCCTCCTCACCCGCACCGGCACTACGCTCCCACCTGACGTCATGCGCTCCCTCTTCCTCAAGCGGCTGCCCGCTGATATCCAGCAAATCCTGCTGGTGTCAGATGCCCCATTGGAGCAACTTGCCCTGCAAGCCGACGCGATGCTCGTAGCTAGGGCACCCACATCGTCAATAGCAACATGTCTGCCGCAACCACCACCTCCGCCGTGACGTTGGAGCCCTTGCAGCCCATGTCGCCACACTATCCGAGGCTGTGCAGAAGATATCCACACAGGAACGTTCTCACTCCCGGCCTCGCTTTCGCACCCCTTCGCCACCACGCTTTGAACGGGACATCAGCGCTTGCTGCCCAACGCCAGCCTCGCTTCCGCGTTCGCGGAAACTGGGCGCGCCTGTCTTTCGCGGACCTCGGAGGCGTTTATTGTACGTCCGAGATGCCTCCTCCTCCCTACGTTTCCTCGTCGACACAGGGGCCGAGGTCAGCCTCCTTCCGGCCTCCCACAGGGATAAACGCTTCCCCTCCTCCCGCACTCTGGAAGCTGCCAACACATCGCCCATCAACACCTACGGCGAGCGTTCGAGAACCCTCTCGCTGGAAGGCGAGCCCGCCCAACGATTCCAGTGGATCTTCCTCGTCGCCGACGTCTCACAACCCATCATCGGCGCCGACTTCTTGGCGCACTACGGTCTGACGGTTGATCTTCAAGGTATGGCCCTAATCCACCAATCCGGGGCCCGCACGCACGCTGCTCCGGCTCTGGTAAGTACCCCCCTAATATATACAGTGCTTCCCAGGACCTGCGCCTTCAAGAACATCCTGCGGGAATTCCCGGCCTTGACCAAGCCGATCAACCGGGCCACCCAACCACGGCACGAAGTCCGGCACCACATCGTGACCCACGGTCCCCCTGCCCACTCTCGCTGCCGTCCGCTCGCCCCCGACAGATGTCGCAGTGCCAGGGCGGAGTTCGACCATATGATGCAGTTGGGGATTATACGCCCTTCCAGCAGTCAATGGGCGGCCCCTCTGCATCTGGTGAAGAAGAAGGATGGTGACTGGCGCCCGTGCGGTGATTACCGTCACCTCAACACGATCACCGCCCCCGACAGATACCCTCTGCCGCACCTGCACTCCTTCTCCCACGAGCTGTCTGGCTGTACGGTCTTTTCCAGGATCGACCTCGTGCGGGCCTTCCACCAAATCCCGATCGCTGAGGAGGACATCCCCAAGACGGCCGTCATTACACCTTTCGGCCTCTTCGAATTCCTCAGGATGCCCTTCGGTCTCCGGAACGCCGCTCAGACCTTCCAACGCTTCATAAACGACGTGACTCGCGGCCTTGAGGGCGTCTTCGCTTACATCGACGACATCCTCGTCGCCAGCACCTCAGAAGCAGACCACGCCCGCCATCTCCGCGCCCTCTTCGGCAGACTGCAAGAAGCGGGCGTCGTCATCAACCCGGGAAAATGCCAGTTCGGTGTCGCTTCCCTCTCTTTCCTCGGCCACACCGTCACCCCCAAGGCATCACCCCAGCGCAGAGAAGGTCACCGCTATAAGGAAGTTCCCCAGGCCAGCGACGGAGAAACAGCTGCGGAAATTCCTGGGCATGTTTAACTTCTACAGAAGGTTCGTCCCCGGGTGTGCCCAGCTCCTCAAGCCCCTTCACGCCCTGATCACACCTAACAGGGCCAGCAGAAACACCAAAATCGAGTGGACGTCCCCGACAAACGAAGCCTTCGAAGCCTGCAAAGAAGCCCTGGCCTCTGCCACCCTGCTTAACCACCCTCTGCCGGAAGCTCCTCTCAGCATAGCGGTCGACGCCTCCGACACTGCCATCGGTGCTGTCCTCCAGCAACGTCAGGGTAAGCAATGGCAACCCCTTGCCTTCTTTTCGCAGACCCTGTCGCCACGCCAGTCACGGTACAGTGCCTTTGGAAGGGAACTCCTGGCAGCATACTCCGGGTGAGCATTTCCAGCCGTTGTGGAGGCAAAGGAATTCCACATCCTGACGGACCATAAACCCCTCACCTTCGCCTTACACTCGAGGACCCGCCGCCAATCCCCTCGCGAGGAGCGCCACCTGGACTACATCTCGCAGTTCACGACGGACATCCGGCACATTCGGGGCGTGGACAACGAGGCCGCCGATGCTCTATCGAGGGTTACCATATCCGCAGCGACCCTCACCGACGACGCAGTGGATTATCATCTGGTCAGCAGAGAGCAACGGCAGGACGCGTCCATGACTCCTCTCATCGAGGGCCAGTCTTCCCTTAACCTTGAGAGAGTCAGGATCCCGAACTCCCGCGATGACCTTCTCTGCGACGTCTCCCTCGGCTACCCCCGCCTTCTCTCCGTCGGCGATTCTTCGATGCCTACCACCAGCATCGTGGCAAAGGCCACACCCATCCGCGAAATCACCGCAGCGACAGTCGCCAAGACCTTCATTAACATCTGGGTCTCCCGCTTCGGCACCCCGGACACCGTCACGACTGACCGCGGCGCCCAGTTCGAATCCGAACTTTGGCGCCACCTCATGATCCTGCTCAGGTCCAAGCGGGTCAGGATGACCGCCTACCATCCCTGCGCCAACGGCATGGTCGAGCGACTCCACCACCACATGAAGCAGGCCCTAACATCCTCCTCCTCCAACAGGAGGTGGGTCGACCAGCTTCCCCTTGTCTTCCTCAACATCCGGACGTCATTTAAAGAGGACCTGCAGTGCACCACCGCAGAAATGGTCTACGGAACCACGCTCGCCCTTCCCGCGGATTTCCTCGTCAAGGCCAGCACCATCGAGCCGGGAACTTTCGTTAGGCAGCTCTGCGACCGAATGTCACGGGTACGCAGCCGACCAACGAGACCCTCTAGCAACAGGACTTCTACATACCCCCAGGACTCCAAGACTGCTCGCACGTTTTCATAAGAAAACACCCGAAACCCCCTCTCTGCCCTCCCGACGAAGGGCCCTTCCCGGTCATCAGAAGAGGGGAGAAGACGATTACCATCCGCCGCCCTAAGGACAAGACAACCGTGACATCGACCGAGTCAAGCCCGCGCACCTGCCAGCAGCCCTTCAGGATCGCCATAGTCCGTTTCGCGACCGCTACACTAGAGGGGAGTGCTGTAGCGGCTCCTGATTGGCCGTCAACGCAGGACCGCACCCGACACGCGATTGGCCGACTCCCGCCGTGGAACCGCCCACATCGGCCGAGCTGACATCGGCGGTCAGGTTCTTAAGCCGCCGAACCTGAGGCGGAATCATCATTCTCCACTCAGCTGTGACATGACTATACTTTTACTCGGTTCCTCAAATAAAGAGATAAAAATCCAGTCTGGTTTTTAACCTCTACAGTAAGACGGCGCGTGATAAAATCTACGAAACGAGAATAAAAAGTATTCAACTTACCAACAGTATTATCTTCCTATCAACAAAAATTCATGAGCTTGCAGCTAACCTGGCAAAATAACGTCAAAGAAACTTTGTTTGCTGGCCTAACTCAGTCTCGTGCTTTGAGAAACGCGCTGGGAATGTTATGGATTTGTTATACGCAGACACCAACATGGCGGACATGCGCAGTGACATCGCTAACATAAGAAAGGGCAAGAAAGTACAGAGAGAGGGTATATTCTAACATTGGTATAAGAGTGTATTCTATATAGGGTGTAAGGTAGGTCATATTTCCCAGGGATGTAAGAAAGGGCTGGCTTTTTATTTATTTTATTTTTTTACAAAACCCAAACGCCCTAACGCTCAAGTAATTACTGGGCTTCGCGGAAGGGTTATACTAATATCTCTTTTAATAATACTGCTCTGGACACTATCATTACATTTAGTAGTTTGTAGTACAGTCATTATGTTAATACTATTACATCTATAACTATTTAATGTCACTTTTATGCACACTTATATCACATTTATCCAAGAATTGCTGATACAAGTACTGCTATTATTTGATACCACTATATTGTGTTATTGTTACCACTACTCTTGTATATGGTATTACTGGTGATATCTTCATACTACACTTTAATAGTATCGCTGATATGATCACCGGTGATATACCTCTGTTACTGATTCAGTATCATTGCGCTAGTATAATTAAAGTGTTTAAATACATTTATTATTGATCACACTGTTATTAATGATTTTGTACTAGTTTAACTAAATGTGATTATTAATACATTTATTATTGTCATACAGTGTCATAATGTGTTGTTACATATATACTATCCCCCCACCAAAAACAAACAGTGAAAAGGAGAAAGAAGAAAAAAGAAGAAGGAAGAGAAGTTAATGATGAAGGTAGACAGAAAGCCTCTCCACCGAAGAAGAGGAAAGGGGAGGTTAATGAGAATGAAAGTGTAAACGAGGAAGTAGCTGAAACAAAGTAAAGATGGGGATAAAAGAGAAGGAAAAGTGTGCAGCAAAATGAATTATGAAGATGAGAACAAACCAAGGGACCAAAGCGAAAACGAAGACGACAAAGATGATCTCGATGATAGATACGATAACGAAAGAAGCGACAGCTCTGATGGAGGACACAGAAGAAACACACAAAAACACAGATGACATGACAAAGAGAAAGTAGAAGACAAGGCAGAGGAGGAGACGAGGAAAAGGAGACAGAGCAAAGCAACACATGAAAACAAACGGCAAGTAGATGTGAAGATCAAGAAGAAATGAGAAAGAAAGAAGCCTGAAAAGCAAGAATTTCAAAGAGTCGCAAGGAAATGACGAAAAAGAAGGAAAGAAACTGTTAGAAGCTAAAGCAGAAAATACAAGTAAACGAGATGGACAAGGGAAACTGGCGTAAAATTACGAATGAACAAGAAATAAGCACTCAGACCGAAGAAGAAAAGGAAACACAGGAAGGAAAAGGAAATTTGAACATGGAAGCTCGAGATGAGGACGAGGACCAGGAACAGGCCGCGAGTATTAGATCAGGAAATAGGGGCAAGGAGTCCCAAGATGAAGACGAAGGTCGGTATCAAGCAGGAATATTCGAACAGGAAGAGACAAAGGGAGTCCCAAGATGAAGAAGAAGGTCGGTATCAAGAAGGAATATTCGAACGGGAAGCAGGCAAAGGGATCCAGATGAAAGAAAGGTCGGTATCAAGACAGGAATATTCGAACAGGAAGTAGACAAAGGGAGTCCCAAGATGAAGACGAAGGTCGGTATCAAGACAGGAATAAACAGGAAGCAGGCAAAGGGAGTCCCAAGATGAAAAGACGAAGGTCGGTATCAAGACAGAATATTCGAACGGGAAGCAGGCAAAGGGAGTCCCAAGATGAAGACGAAGGTCGGTATCAAGACAGGAATATTCGAACAGGAAGTAGACAAAGGGAGTCCAAGATGAAGAAGACGAAGGTCGGTATCAAGACAGGAATATTCGAACAGGAAGCAGACAAAGGGAGTCCCAAGATGAAGAAGACGAAGGTCGGTATCAAGACAGGAATATTCGAACGGAAGCAGGCAAAGGGAGTCCCAAGAGAAGACGAAGGTATCAAGACAGGAATATTCGAACAGGAAGTAGACAAAGGGAGTCCAAGATGAAGAAGACGAAGGTCGGTATCAAGAAGGAATATTCGAACAGGAAGCAGAACAAAGGGAGTCCCAAGATGAAGAAGACGAAGTCGGTATCAAGACAGGAATATTCGAACGGAAGCAGGCACAAAGGGAGTCCCAAGATGAAGACGAAGGTCGGTATCAAGACAGGAATATTCGAACAGGAAGTAGACAAAGGGAGTCCCAAGATGAAGAGACGAAGGTCGGTATCAAGACAGAAATTCGAACGGGAAGCAAGCAAAGGGAGTCCCAAGATGAAGAAGACGAAGGCCGGTATCAAGACAGGAATATTCGAACAGGAAGCAGACAAAGGGAGTCCCAAGATGAAGACGAAGGTCGGTATCAAGACAGAATATTCGAACAGAGAGCAGACAAAGGGAGTCCCAAGATGAAGACGAAGGTCGTATCAAGACAGAAATATTCGAACGGGAGCAGACAAAGGGAGTCCCAAGATGAAGACGAAGGTCGGTATCAAGACAGAAATATTCGAACGGAAGCAGACAAAGGGAGTCCCAAGATGAAGACGAAGGTCGGTATCAAGACAGGAATATTCGAACGGAGAGCAGACAAAGGGAGTCCCAAGATGAAGAAGACGAAGGTCGGTATCAAGACAGGAATATTGAACGGAGAGCACAAAGGGATCCCAAGATGAAGAAGACGAAGGCCGGTATCAAGACAGAATATTCGAACGGGAAGCAGACAAAGGGAGTCCCAAGATGAAGAAGACGAAGGTCGGTATCAAGACAGGAATATCGAACGGAAGCAGACAAAGGGAGTCCCAAGATGAAGAAGACGAAGGTCGGTATCAAGACAGAATATTCGAACGGGAAGCAGCAAAGGGTCCCAAGATGAAGAAGAAGGTCGGTATCAAGACAGGAATATTCGAACGGAAGCAGACAAAGGGAGTCCCAAGATGAAGAGAAGGTCGGTATCAAGACAGGAATATTCGAACGGGAAGCAGGCAAAGGAGTCCAAGATGAAGAAGACGAAGGTCGGTATCAAGACAGGAATATTCGAACGGAAGCAGACAAAGGAGTCCCAAGATAAGAAGACGAGGTCGGTATCAAGACAGGAATATTCGAACGGAGCAGGCAAAGGGAGTCCAAGATGAAGACGAAGGTCGGTATCAAGACAGGAAATATTCGAACGGAAGCAGGCAAAGGGAGTCCAAGATGAAGAAGACGAAGGTCGGTATCAAGACAGGAATATTCGAACGGGAAGCAGACAAAGGGAGTCCCAAGATGAAGACGAAGGTCGGTATCAAGACAGGAATATTCGAACGGGAAGCAGACAAAGGGAGTCCAAGATGAAGACGAAGGTCGGTATCAAGACAGAATATTCGACGGGAAGCAGACAAAGGGAGTCCCAAGATGAAGAAGACGAAGGTCGGTATCAAGACAGAAATATTCGAACGTAAGCAGACAAAGGGAGTCCAAGATGAAGAAGACGAAGGCCGGTATCAAGACAGAAATATTCGAACAGAAGCAGACAAAGGGAGTCCCAAGATGAAGAAGACGAAGGTCGGTATCAAGACAGGAATATTCGAACGGGAAGCAGACAAAGGGAGTCCAAGATGAAGAAGACGAAGGTCGGTATCAAGACAGGAATATTCGAA